CACTCCCCATACAAAAACACGCCCGTACAACAACACATTCCCGGGCCTAAACAAATGCAGAGCCCATTCGCTGCATTCATAAACTTGATTTCATAACGCCAGGCATTTGCATAAGGCCGCCCGCGTCGTCGTGCAATATGCCATATGCCAGTGACAAAGGGGCGCCCAGGTCGTGCAGCAAAGCCCCAGATAATGCGGCGGGGACTTACAAACACATCTTGCTTGAGCCGAGACGCCGGGGGGCATTACCCCAGGGGGCCGTGACGCCTCGCTCGGTGTTTGTCTGTCCCCATTACAAGGGGGTCGTTTTTTCCACGCGCTGGTCTAATTTGTTTTCCCTTACTTCTTATTTTATTCACATCTTTGTCTTTATCTCTCTCCTTTTTCCTCTCTCTCTCTTCCCTCCCTCCCTCCCTTCTATCGTTCTCTCTTCTACCTTCTCCCTTTTCTCTTCTATCTCTCTCCCTCGCTCTCTCTCTATCTCCCGCGCTCTCTCTCCCCCTTCCACTCTCTCTCTCTCTCTCATCCCTTCTTCTCCCTCTCGCTTTTCGTCGCTCACCGCCCCCTTCTCTCCCCCCCCCCCTGTGTTCCAACCCCTAACCCCACGCAGGTTTCCGAAAGTATATCAGTATAAAAAATGAACGACTTTCCACACGTGAGCAAATGACGTCTTCACAAATCACCGACCGGAAAAGTGTAGTCGTTTTAATTGCGTGGGCATTAGGAATAATTCTGTCCTATGTAGAGCTCGAACTAACCGGGAGAGACGAATTCATTAAGGCTAATTACCATTCTGACTTCATAATGGTACTGTAGATGACCTGCCCGGGGATGGGAGGAGAGGGGGTCGCGCCTAAAACGTCTGAATGGCGACGAGTTATTATTCTACATTGTTTCATGGTCATTAACGGAACTTAGAAGCACAATGAATGGCATCGTACTTTTGGGGTCTGCGTCAGTTCTTCAAAAACAATTATGAAACAATGCGTTTTGATCCAAAATGTATTAAACTGCGAATTGCCATCAAGAGGTCTGCAGGATCGAATGAGCTGAACCCATATCTGGTGCATCATTATTAATGAAGTCATCGACCGCAGATGAGGTCGCGGGACTAAGAGACAAGGGCGAGACAAGGGTGAAAAATGTGCGAGACAAGGGTACGAGCAAGGGTGAGACAAGGCGAGAAAGGGTGAGACAAGGGCGAGAAAAGGGTGAGACAAGCCCGTACAGAGCATCGCATGGTACAATGATGATTCAATAGTTTAGACTAATAACAAGAGAAAGGAAAGCAAATAACAACCTCGATCTGAAGAGATACCTAACCATAACAGGAGAGGATCGATAAAGGAAGAATTCATAAAAAATGTCCCAACCTATTTCTGACCAACTTAGAAAAAAATGGAAAATTACTCATTTTTTGAAGCCATTCAAATACGATACTTGAACAACTGTTTACTTAGCAGTGTCTATTTGCGGTCTCAGCCTCGTACAAGACGAAGATAAGCTAGCATTCTCCACCGTCACAAAAAAGCCAAAGTAGTACCCACATAACCCCCTCAAATCCTTAAAATGCATCCGAATAGCCCCGCTTATGCCCTATCTCCTTGCATGCCAGTCCCTGATAGGCTCCTCCTACCGCTCCCTGCTGCTAACTACCGAAGACCCTGCTTTTAACTACCGAAAACGCTGGCATTTCAAACTGACACAATCCTAATGAATCCTGTTAAATCCCGCTAAAAACCGCGCGACAAGTTCACCGCGGTTAAAATAGGATTTTTTCCTCTTTTCCCCTTTTTTGTGGCTGTGTGTGTGTGTGGGGGGGGGGGGCTTTCATCCGACCACGATAATGCACGACACCATTTTTTTCTCCCTTGTCTCGAGTTCCTGTCCTTCCTCCGTGCACTGACGCCGCATTCCTGTTCCAAAAGCTATCGGCTGATTCCACCAAGACAAGCGAAGGTTCTGAGGATCTGCCTAGGTCTTCCTCTGCCAAGAAGACAAAGGTTCACAGAATTCAATCTCAGCGGTTCTAATCCGATTCTCTACTGCTTTATTCCCGAAAAAAAAAATCGAGTCGAAACCCTTGTTGGAAAGTCGCATTCTTCCTCGAGAGGCCAAAGGAACATGAGCATCCGGCCGGGCTTCCATTACGGCCGCGAGCTCGCCCTTACTCTTCATTTGGTCGCCCGGGCGCCATCGTCGAACGTCTCTCCCAAGGGCGCTCTTCACGGGGTTTCATTTACTCATTCATTCATACACTGACTCAATCTTGCACTCAGACTCACACACACTCTCAAGCATTATTTCCCTGTCTCTCTCTCTCTCTCACCCACGCACGCATGCACGCGTATACGCACACACACTTACTTACCCACTCACACACACACTTAAACATTCATTCACTAACTCAAAAAAAAAATCCAAGCACAACTACCATACTTGGTACCACTTCCTTATAACAACCTCACATTCTTCCCTTCTGCCTACGGCAATGCCTTAA